CCTGATTAGGGACAGTATTACAACATAAAGTGGGCTCCTAAGGACAACATCACAACATAAAATTGGATAATAATGGCTGGAGACGGCTTAAATGGGTAATAAAGAAAAATTTAAATATAATTTAAACATGACAGCAAATGTACAACGTTTCGACAAGGTTTTGATGACAAAACCTTGGCGAAACGTTGTACATTTGCTGTCATGTTAAACTTATATTAAAGTTTTTCTTCATTACCCATTTAAGCCGTCTCCAGCCATTATTATCCAATTTTATGTTGTGATGTTGTCCTTAGGAGCCCACTTTATGTTGTAATACTGTCCCTAATCAGGATTTTAATGTTTTTAATTTACATTAAATGGAAGAAAAAAACCAAATGGTCATAACAAAATCTGTATCCTCAAGTCATGACAAATAGCAATTAAAAGATAAGATTTTGGTTATTCTTACAATGTATTTTAATAGCACAAAGATTTCAATTTGTATATGGTATTTCGGTCATCTCTGATAGATGTTTGTTTATACTTTTTAATTCAGGTTTTTACGAAAGTTCCATTTCTTCTGAAGCATCAGTTAAGAGAATATCAACATATTGGCCTTGATTGGCTAGTGGCAATGCATGACCGAAAACTAAATGGAATTTTGGCCGATGAGATGGGACTAGGAAAAACTATTCAGACAATTGCGGTTCTCGCACATCAAGCATGTGATAAGGGTGAGTCGCGGTTCATAAATTTGCATAGTTGTAAAATAAGGCTTAAATTGAATCTTAAAATATTTTACTGAAATCTAGATATAACCCTATCGTGACGGGCATCATTTACTGAGCATGTCATGAGGTTTTAGTTTCTTACATTCAAAATTTTATTAATTTAGTTTTTGTTTATGTTATACCAATTAGTATAGCATAAAATCTTAGCTAACGATCCATATTTTAATATGATATAAGTTTTTAATTCTTAATTTGATAAGGCAATATTTAAAAAAATCCTTTATTTCCACTACTGTGGCACATTTTCTCTAGGCTTCCCCTCTTCTCTATTTTATTCACCACATTTCTAATAAGTATGAAATTCAACTAAATTACTCACTATAAAATTGTCATTGCTCAGACAAACCATAATTTTCATAGCCTTCAATTTTGTTTGGTTACAGAGCTATCAAATAGAAAATCAGATCCCTCTTGTCACATCTTTCAGGATTTGTTAATTGTTCACATCTTTAATTATATGTTATCTATAACCAATAGAAAGCCAAGGTTTTCATTTATCAAATGACGTATTGTATAACATTGTTTTCTGATAGTAGAATTGTCAATTTCACTGTTAGCACAAGCGTCGGTTACATGGGAAAGTTAACGATTAACTTGGATGAATTTGTAATGAATGGCTCTTGTTGCATCGTTAGACAGCCAGAACAATTGTGAGAGAGTTAGGGGAGGTTGTCTACTTTTTTGAATGTTATCAGTCTATGTTCTTTCGGGCATTATTTAATTAATTAAAAATTATTTATTGCATTACTACCATTAGAATAAAAAAAGTAAGTTTAATTGTCTTCAACAATCGATAGGAGGAAAAAAGAATATTTGGGTAAATACTTTATTTCTTGTTTTTCACATTTATTTGTATTTACTATTATAAAAGGAACTAAAATAAAAATAGGGATCTCTTTATATTAGTTAAGGTTAGATTAGGTAAAATGAATGATAGTAATATAACAAAAATGTTTCACAAAGCACGAATGGAGCAGCTCGTGGGTAATGTAAATCGATAGCGTAATGCGACCTCCACGTCTCCCAAGTGATTTATAAGTTATAATGGCACGAATAAAAGCTACTTAGGATAAACGAATGTAGTTTGATGTTACAATTTGAAATATTCTAGAAAGAAAAATAAGGGTAATTTAGTTTTTTTTATTGGAGAATACGGGTTTGGTCAAATTGACCAACGTTGTTATAGGGTTAATGTAGAGAAATTAACAGATAAAACCAAGCCTTTGAAATGTATTTAGGAGGTTTTATAGATTACACAAATCAAATCTGTGATTTTTGAGATGAAGAAAAGTATTTTTAATCGTAACACTAAAATCACTTTTCACACAGACTATCCAAAACAAATACTCAATATATTAATGGACAAATCATTTTAGTTTATTCAAAATAAATTGCTAAAAAAGATGATTTTTTGTGTGTGAAAGACTGCCAAATTGTGTGAAGATATACACACTATATTGAAAGTTAGTAGTATCAAATGTATAAAGACTTTATACGAGCCTCTGTTGAGAGTTAATCTACCAAAAACTGGAGTTAAAAAATATTGAAATTGGTAAGTGATATGTTGGCTTACTAAAAAGTTTGGTAAATTCTTCTTTCTTGTTTAGGTAACTGGGGTCCTCATCTTATTGTCGTGCCAACAAGTGTTATGCTGAACTGGGAAATGGAATTCAAGAAGTGGTGTCCAGCTTTCAAAATTCTCACATATTATGGAAACCCGAAAGAGAGAAAGCAAAAAAGACAGGTAAATGAAGGTGGATTTGTGCAGTAGTTCACGTGATTTTGTATTTTTTCTCCTTATCTTTAATACAAGTCATAGAAACATTGCATGTAATCCATTGAAGAGTAGGAGTGAATATCTTTATGACTGTATTGTTTATTGTAGGATGCGAGTTAATATATGTATGAAAGACATTAATGTTTTTGTGTGCTTAGGTGAGTATAAACAGAACAGTGTGTTTGAATAAAATTTAGAAAAATAAAGTAATTTGTAGAGTTCCTTTACAAATAAAGAAAAAAAATTGAAGTTATCTAGTATAAAAATTGGGGTACAGGCATTCTTCGCGTATGCACCATACATATTATGCCATATCGGTGCAGTAACCATCCAGTATCAAGGAAAACTTTGTCAGATATTGAAAATTTGAAATATTTAAAGAATAAGTTCTATATCATTACCGCAGTGGCTATTGTAAATAGTTGGAGTTTGACCAAAACGCGCACCACAACAAAATTCTACAAGTCAAAGATTGTTAATATAATTTTCAGAATATTGGCTTGTTTACCATTATAATCACAATATACAGTAGTAAAATACCCAGTGCAGAGAATAAAGATGTTGTTGCTGTTTAAGTTCCCACTTGTTTTCCTGATTCTCACCATTTAACTTCCAGTTTATATATACTAGAGTTAGAATAAGTTTTTATGCTTGAATTAGAAAAGTGGTTCATAATTAAAATATTTTTTAGGATATTTCTTACTTCTTGATGTAGAATGTAGTTTGTGTAGAAGCAAAATTCAGGATTATTATAAATTTAATGCATTAAATTTACCAAATTCAGAGAGTACAAATCTTGACCACATCTCTACTGTGAAATGGGCTGCTTTGAACGAGAAATTATGCAACTGCTTTGCATTTTCTGCCAAGTTTATCGACTCGACTGATATACCTTTCCACTTCTGATCCACTTCACATGTCGTACAACAATTATTGGAGAATAAATTATACTAAAAATCCTTAGAGGTTTTGCTCATTTTTAGCCAATCTGTTTTTTTTTCTGTTTTTTTTCTGCATGTTCCAGAGAAAAAAGATGGAGGAGTGTACGCTCTTTAAAATAATCCGCAAGACATTTAAAGTGTATTACAAGAGCTTCAAAAGTAAATCCTATTATGGACTGAGAGTGCACTTTTACTTGTATACTTTCACTGGACCTGTCGGGCTTTCACCAACGGCAGAGCTGGTCATGCAATTTGTTGCTCAGAAAATTAGTCAAATTGTACATCTTATTTATTATATAATAATTTGGCTACGGTCCTGTGTCGGACAATTACGGATGGAAAAGGTCTTGGGTATATATGTTAAAAATAATAAAGATTTTGGAGATTCTGTACAGTGAAGTTGATTTATATTAAACTTTGTTTCAGGGATGGACAAAACCTAATGCATTCCATGTGTGCATCACCTCTTACAAACTGGTAATCCAGGACCATCAGGCATTCCGCAGAAAACGGTGGAAGTATTTTATTCTGGATGAAGTAAGGACATTTGTCAAAAGTATATTAATAATATTGTTGAAAAATAAAAACAAAGTTAACTTATTAACAGTCAGAGATAAATATACCAACCCACTAACATCATGAAATCTTACACATTAATTCATTTTTGTACATTCGGATTAGAAAGAAGTTGATCTTTAGAAGCTAGTAAATACATTTTTAACTTCAACCTCAGCAAGGTTTTTTAAGTAAGAGTACATCTGTTTAGTTTGATAAATTCCAGTTTCAAGTTTTGATAGAACTATATCTTTAAGTAGTGCAATTCTTTTGTGACGTAGTTATTTGGGTGTTTTTCTTGGGAGCTTCCCGTACCTCTGTTTTTGTTGCCTATAAAGTTTAAATGAAGTAAAATAGAACAGTTTTTTTTTACTGTATCTAATGCAGTTGGTACTATTTTTATGTTCATGTGACTAATAGTTCGAAGATAATTATTTCTATCCATTATTCCTGTCAGGACTGGAGACACATTTCAGGTGTCAATAGCACAACTTCATATCGTATTTAAATATTGAAGTAATAATTGCCGCTTTTATTAAAAAACCTTTTTATTCTGTGGAATTGATATTTGATTATTGTATTGCATTTATTTAGCATAATTCACTAAGAATGTGAAAAAATTCTTCCAACTGATTACAAGGAGTCTCGTCAGTAAATAATGGATTTTCCACTTTTTATAGTAGTTTTCTACCCATCTGTGTAAAGTACAATTTTGGTTGAGTACTCTTTTTGTCTAATATAAATTAATTTGTAGTCATTAAAGATACTTAAGTAGAAAGTTTTGTGCATAGGACTTAAAAATTCCATAGAAATTAATTTAATTCAAAACCTACTGTTTATTATTTGTGGGAACACAATGTAATGTTTCCTATTCTCTGAACTGGTGGTTGTGTTTTATTTAACAGCAGTTTGGAAGAGTACGGTAACATATCGTACATGTAATTTTTGTTAACGCTTTTTTATAGAGAGGGTATGACTCTCTCTCTTAAGAATATTTTTAAGCATTTGAGGTCTTAAATTTCTGCCGAATTGATTTGTAATTACTCGGCAGAGCCGCTGATCTCGGAGAGAATTCTCTGAAAGAATACTGTTCTGGTTGCACTAGTGAGGTGCTTTTCAGACCATTTTTTTCAGAAACAAATACTTAACTGATTCTTTTAGATACTTATTGATATTCACTTTTAAATATATCTTGGAGATGTTTGATTTTATTGCCATTTTTAAAGAGGGCCATATATTCATATAACTTGTTTTGTGTGTGTGTTGCTCATTTCAAGAAGGGATTTTCGAAACTATACAATTATATTGGTTATTTAAATAAAATTGTATTTATTAATTGTTTTATTTCTTCTACCAAATATGTAGCATGTCAGTCTATGGGCCTTAAACCTGTTGCTGGCTGATCTAGAATTGTGCCTTACTGCTTTTGCTGCTCACCGTATTAAAAAGTTCCAGACATTACCACGATTTATTGAGGAAATTGATAGTTATCCTGATCCACCTCCCAAATGTCCACCTGGGAAAATACGCTTGCACATTCGGACATCCACTGCATCACAGGTAAGATAGATATTAACATTGCTATCTCGTTTAAACATACTTTGAGAACTTTCAAGACCATTCATCTTTATGTTTTCAGGTTTCAAAGGTTTTCTCCTGGGAAAAAAAAAAAAAAGTATCATTATAAGGTACAGTGTCATTAGCAAGGATTAGTGTTTGTACTCTTAAAGCATATTGTAAAAGCACATAAAATATAAAAGAAAAACCTGATTATACGAATAACCATGATAGCAACTGAATTCAGATTACCACAAATATACACCCAACAGTAACATCTGTTTCCATGTATATCATTCCATTTCAAAAATTGAATCCGAAAACTCTCCATTTTGAAAAATCATTTGTACGTTGCTCAGAATTTGGTATAAAACATTCGCAAGGGATTTATTACAAACAGTTGTTGCTTTAATTATTTTAAAGTAATTTGATCAGCTGATTTTAATAACCAGATCCAAAGTTTAAAGGCTGGATATGAACTCTTAAATAAGAGAAAGGCTTTATAATTAATAGAGACCAAAGACTTTCATAATATACATTGCTTTCGAGTTGTTGTTTATTTAACAAAAATTTCACAATAAAAGTCTTTGTTTTGTTTTTATTTAGCCAAGTACCTTTTATAGGGATGAAGACTTCTCTTAAATGATAAGAAGAGAAACAGGATCTCTTAAAAGCTCTGAAATCTTGTTAAATTAAACTTGTATATGTGCTTTAAAGCTTGAGAGATATTTTAGTAAAGACGTGTTAATCGTAGAAGACCAAATACTAGAACTCACTGTATTGTTATATTTATAGTTATATCTCGTTTTTTTGTTGGTTGTTTTTAATGCTTTTATATTGAGCATCTGATTTTTTACAGGGGGTTAATTGCACTTCTTAGAATGATTTGGTGACACGTTAACACTTGTACAGTGTCACCATTGTAAGCATATGGCTCGTGTTATAAACCTTTACTAAAAATGATGTTCATGTATCAAGAGTTGTAAACGATGTAGAGCCTAGGCACAATATTTTGAAGAAGAAAACCTTCGTAGTTTTCACTGTATTTGGAAAACCTTTGCAAAGTAGTACTTAGAACAGCACTGAGTGCCAAAATCACATTTCAACTCAGTCTGAGGTGTACTTAACCCTTTACTGCCTGGCATTTTGTGAGGTCATGTGGTCAATTAGTTATAAAGTAAAGATATAACTGAAGTGTTCAAATTAAGGAATTTTTACTAATATAAATATATATGTTTTGTTTATAGATAAAACAAGAAACTATTGAATAAGATTAGTATGAAAACTCTAGTAATACATTCTCTGGCAGTTGTTAGGGCAGTGCGTAAGAGAATAATGCTGCAAAGCTTAGTATTAAAGAGTGATTAGAATTAGTTTTCTCCCCCTAGCTATATTTTTATAGCATTCAGTATCTCTTAGTGTTGTTTTTGTTTTTAGGCATCTCTTACTAAATTTCATTATTTTTCACTTCTTTTTCATCAGCCTGCTTCAGGAAGAGCTTCTCCAATGACGGGTGTGCAGAATAGAGCTGTGTCACCTGCACCCCTCTTAAGACCCACTGCCCCAACAGTGCCTTCTAGGCCCATTGGGTTTGCCCAGCCCCAGTTAGCTGCAACTCAGCAGAGGTTACTGGTTTTAACTAGCTCAGGAAATGTAGTAGGACCATCTTCCCAATCCATCAGTCCTGTTGCTGCACTTGGCACTAGTCAGTCAGGAGCAGAATACACACTTCATCATATACAGAAAACTTCTGCTGGCCTAGGTAAAGGAACTTTGGATTTCAATATTGTATTTTGTTTTTATGGTACACTGTTCCAGTTTATACTTGCTTTGTTTTTCTTTAAAAAAATCACTTGAAATGTTATGAAATCCTAAAGATCTCATAAAAGTTTTCTGGAATGTTATCATTTGAATGTAGCTTGTGATTGGTTGAGTTTAGAATGTAGGGAATATTTCACCCGACGTGTGGTGTGATTATGTATTTTGTTATGGTAGTAGTTGCTATATTTACTGTAGTCAACTTCTGGATATAACTTATATAGAACATTTTATATTAATTTCAGTTGGAATTCCCGCAGTGTCTTCAAAATTAGGCACAACCCTTCATCTTCAACAAAACACACAGTTAGGAACGGGAGTGGCAACACCTTTTGGTATTGGAAGGCTTCTTCAGACACCATCTGGCCAACATGTACTTCTTACACCTGCAACTCCTACCATTTCTTCTGATCAGTCTGTACTCTCGAGTGTTGGGGCTACTGTCAGTCAGCAGTTAACACAATCTTCACGTGAGTTACATACCATGAAATTTTATCCTGGATTTTGTTACACTTGAAATGTTCTTAGTTTTGGCTATAAAATAATTCCTTTCATTCTTAAATAATTCTAAAACAATCATTGGAAATGACTGACTGTATGGATTTGTATTGCCTCATTATTTCACGAAATGACCAGTTTATACTTTACTGGCCTAATCATTATAAATATAGACACTTGTTTAGGGTATCTGTCTAAATAGTCTGTGAAATTACTAGTTAAGATGGCATGAGTCTGATTATCCTAGCCCCCAAATCACTCCTCTGGTTTCAGGCCATCAAGAAGGTTGTTATTTTACATATGGTTGTATGGATATGGCTGATCTGGACATCACCTTGTACTAGATGTGTGTGTATATGTATAGACACACTATATTAATTGTTGTGGAAGTTACTCCTTGCTGTACAAAAGTTTTCAAAAACTAATGTTATGATGTGGCATGAGCTTGGAGACGTTCAAGGTTCTCTTTGATAGAGCTGTACATAATTTATTTAAGAATAATAAGAGTTAACTTTTACAAATAGTGAAATTAATTATATATTTGTTAGGCTTAACTATATCTAAGACATTGAATTATTTTTAACAAAGTGAGCTGGTGCTTATCATTAAGCTTTTAATTTTATTATTGCTAACAGGCAAGTGTAAAACGTAGCTTTTGGGTCAACTGTTAAATAACAGCATAGTATAAAACTGTGCAACATGGTGCTTTTTTATTTTATTATAAATAATAAATTTATCTCCCCGTTGATGTAAAAAAACCTTATTGCTTTTGTTCCATGCAGTAGATGTGAGAAAAGCATTGCATTCTGGTGTTGGTATAAAAGAAACACTTGGCTTTGGTCATGGTCTTGTGAAACTTGTATTAAGATTTAAAGTTTGCTTTTACGATGGAGTACGAACTTTCAACGAAGGTAAGGGGGTTGGAGTATAGAAAGTATGCGAGTTATATATTTGTTATAAGTTGCAGCTGACGTAAAGTTCTCAGTTGTCAGAAATGTGTTTATTAGGAAGTCCACTAACTGGATGCTAATTTTGCTAAAGAAAACATTGAGACCTATCACCCAGCTAGTTTTTGCAACCAGCACTTCTGGCTCTCTACTGGTCTCGTACAGAAATATTCTCCTGATCTCATCCTCTGGCTGTAGAAACATGCTGTCCAGACAGATGATCAGGGACAAATAAAGACTGTTGTGTGAAGCCTGTATGATTAGTTTTGGGGGGGTAGAATACTTAAAATGTTTCTTAACAATTACTTTATGGAACTTCGTAGGATCACTTCAAGATGCCCTGAAAGAGAAAGTAATATCCTCAACGGCACCAGCAACAACAGTGTCCACTAATGTCGTCCTTAACCCAAGCACACCTGCAAGTACTTCTGCTGGAAAACCAGTTCTGAAAGTAACCCCTTTAACTGTTGTTACTCAACCAGCAACTGCAGGTTTGTATTGACTAAGTGAATGAAACATTCTCTTTGTTGATGTGCATTTGAAAATCAGTAGCAGTGCTTAGAGATAGTTGTATTATAGATTAATGCTGTCTTTAACTTTTGTTCTTTCATCTCGTGTTAACCATTGTTCCCTAATAAATTTCGATCCCACTGGAAGCACTTAGATTCTGGGTAGATTTGTTGTTCGTGGTCAGTGTTTTGTAGACTGAATATAGAAGTGTTTGGCCAGACTAGTTCCTTCAGGTAAAAGAAAATCAATAAATATCCATCATGACCAAAATGATATGGTGGATTTGTCAATCATGTCTAGCTTTGGGTTACTGTGAGTCACAGTTATTCCTGCATAAGTTGGACAGAGTCATTTGTTACTTAAAAAGTGTTTAACAGCAGCCACAGAATAAATTAAAACTCCTTAGTTATAAATGTTGTAAGAAACACTGAAAAATGTCACATACAATGTTGCTAAAAAAAATGTACATGGTAATACACACACACACACACACACACAAAGACTGTAAAAAATTAAATTCTTAGTTTCAGAAATGTATGGGTCTAACTGATGAATGGTGACAGTTATATCACTTGTGAAAAACTGGTGTTGATAGGTGTACAGAGTCGAGTATTCAACATCTGTATGCTGTGCAACTCACAAAGTTCAGTACCAAAGAAGAAGAAATAAATTTACTAATGTGACTCCATCTAAACCTGTTACTTGTGGAGACACCTCATCGTCTGTGGAACAGAAAATGGACAACTCCACGAAGCTCTTATTTCAACTCGTAAGTTTTTATGCTTTTATCAAATGTGAATTATGGATTCATTCTGATGCTTTAGTGTCTGGCTAGTTAAATATAGTATGAGTAATTAAAAGTAATAAACCATCTCTTTTATAAATGGTATTTTTGTTTATAAGATTAGAAATTTGTGGGTGGGTGGGTGCAGTTTTTAAAGGCTTTACTCTGAATTACAACTTTTTAATGGTACGTGCCATTTATTTTCTCTATATTTCTCACAGCTGTCATTTTAGTCATAAGTTTGTAAAAAAACAAATTTATGACTATTTCTGGTTTTGATAATTTGCAAGCGCTGACAGAAATAATACTAAAAAGTATCAAACATATCAGTAAATGCACATTCAAAATTAAAAATTTTTATCAAGTGTTTTAGTTTTCAAACATTTGCACACTAGATTACTTTATTATCATGATGTATGAATAATCTTTGCAATCAAAACCCAATTTTAATAGTATATAAGCTTTAAGGCCTTAATTTTATAAGGTAATATTTTAAAAAATTCACAATTTTAGATCGTATAAGAATTGTGACATTTGCTCTCTCGGTTTTTCCCTCTTCTCTAATTTATTTACCACCCTTACAAGAAGAAGAAAATTTAACGAAATTACTTATTAAAGTATTGTCATTGCTCAGACAAAGCATATCTTTTATAGACATCAATGTTATTTAGTTACAGCGACATAAGATAGAAACTCAATCCACCTCTTGCCATGCCCATCTCTTGTAAATTGCCAGTAGTTCCCTGTAATGTTATATTGCATTGTTTTCTGTACAAAAAAATTGTCCATTTTGCTTCCAGTTGAAACTTGATTCTCACAGGAAACACATCGATGAACTTGAACATAATTAGAAAGTCAGAAAAATTATGATAGTTATTGAATGCTGTCTGCTTTTTATGTGTTGTTATTTTCTGTTCTTAGGTGCATTATTTTGTTAACCCTCTCCAGACGGGTCAAAGGCCATGTCATCTCATTTGTTGACTTGCATTCAAAATTTTATTGAACTACTATTTCATGAATTTCAATAAGTTTGGTATCAAACTGGAGATTATAATTCAAAGTTTAGTATCATACATTATTTGGTTTCTTAATTTAAAAGTAAATATTAAAATATGCAGTTTTTGTGCATCATATGGTATGTTGATTGCAGCACTGGTTAAAATTAGATATTTGTGATGTCAAAATGCTAATTCTATAATCTCATACAAATTAGGAACTAAAATTGCTGATATTGACAAGCTACAATATAAAGTAACCTAATATTTTTACTGTTTGCTGATATATCAATCGTACTGAATCAAACACAGTGGCTTGACTCACCTCTTTCCATTTTTGGAAAATGTTCTGATGCATAAAGGTATTTATCTTAAAATGAAAATTACTTTGCATGTTGGATAGGCAACATGGAGGGAGGAGGCATGAGAAAAACATTGCTTAACCAACCTTAAGACTTAATAAAAAAATTAATATTTTGTGTATGAAACCATTGTATAATATTTACTGATAATCTGCTAACGAATTTAAAAGTTATAGCATAAAGACTATAACAAACACAAAATGGTTATGATGTCGGTCCCAGGGGCTGAGCATGTACTGAAAGAGCTAAATAAAAAGTATAAAGTATAAAAAAAGTATGGTTAAATTTCATTGATAGTCGACGGCAAAAAGAAAAAAACCCAGGTAACTACTGTATTTATTTTTCATGTATATTTTATTCATTGTTATACAAGTAAAAATTAAAAACTTTTTAAGTTTTAAGATTAGATTTATTAAAATAAAGAAGAAAAAAATATTGACAGAGTATGCTCATGAGTAGCCCAGCCTGTGGCTTACACAATTTGATAGGGTAATGTGAACTATATGTTCACTAAGTGATTTACAACTTGGAAGAATTGTTAGTTAGAGACGATTCAAAGGGCAATAAAATAATAACAAATAGTAGAAACAGATGTGTACTGTTACGAGTTATAGCTATTTAGGATAAGCAAGTGTTTCATATTACAATTTGAAGTCATTCTAGAAAGAAAAAAGGGGTAATTTAGTTTTCATTTGTATTTGGGTGGTGGGGTGGTTATGAGGTTGGTCAAATTGACACTAATCTCATATAGAGCTATTGGTTGAGAAAATAACATGAAATATAAAGTTTTATTGAAAGAAAATGTTTAGAATTTATTTAGAAGGTTTTAGAGATCATACAAATGAAATTTGACACTTTTTAGATGAAGAAAAGTATTTTTAATATTGACATGAAATTCACCTTGAACTTGGAGGAGTCAACATGTTGACTTCATATAGTCATGGAGAAATATTTAGTGAAAATACTTCATTAAAAATTCTGATTTTTTGTCTACAAAAGATTTATGCTTATCGAAAGCTTATAGAATTTTGTGAATATACATAAAAGATATAGCATAGAAACTATAAAAGTCAATTTGGGGGTCACGAAATCAGGCAGTACAACTGAGTCCGTAGCAATACTTTAAGTGGAAAGAGACAGTTTAGTCAATTAACAAATTTTATTTATTTTGTTGGTTCCAGTTACTTTTATAATTTGGCGTCACGAAATCAGGCAATGCAACTGAGTCCGTAGCAATACTTTAAGTGGAACGAGACAATTTAGTCAATTAACAAATTTTATTTCTTTTGTTGGTTCCAGTTACTTTTATAATTTGGGGGTCACGAAATCAGGCAGTCCAACTGAGTCCGTAGCAATACTTTAAGTGGAACGAGACAGTTTAGTCAATTAACAAATTTTGTTTCTTTTGTTGGTACAAGTTAATTTTATAATTCAAGTATTTATTACTGATTTTTTTCAGAAATCCTTAGAAGGAAAGAAGAAAGATTTTCGAAAGAACAAACTGAAGCTTCTAGGATATACAAATTCCCAAAGGTGTGCAGCTTGTCCTATTTACGGCCATGACCTTGTAGAAGCTGTAACTGTTACCAATGATGTTCGTCAGTGCCCTAAAGGGAGACCTTGGGGAGGAATGGGTTATGTGAACTGTCAGAATGCTCCATTGACTCTTCACAATCCCAGAAATCTCTGGCATCAGACACAAACGCTGAATGAGATGGTTTACACTCCAGAGACACTGCTCAGTGAATTACATGATGTTATAAGTAGGTAAGTAATGATGGTGTGCAAGAAACCTTTATTTTCAACTTTTATGAACATTTGTTGTAATTGTCTTTACAGCAAGAGAGAGAGAGAAAGAAATATGAACTGTAAAAACATTATTTGAACAAAAATGACAAATAAAGTATGTCCTTAAAGCTAAAGATTGCAGTTAAAGTACATCCTTAACGCTCTGTTACAGTAAAGATAGCAGATAAGGTACATCCTTAAAGCTCTGTTACAGTAAAGATAGCAGATAAGGTACATCCTTAACGCTCTGTTACAGTAAAGATAGCAGATAAAGTAC